CCCCAAAACCCCAAAACCCCAAAACCCCAAAACCCCGTACAAAACCTGAGTGGTTGAACTGAGATTAGAAATAAAGCAAGAGGATTTAGAAAGCAGCGTTTTAGAGTCGGTGAGTTAAGATGAGTCAAAGGAACGAAGAGGGGAGATTTTGGGGTTAGAGGAGTTAAGAGAGATGGGTTTGGAGTTTTTGGAGGGATATGAGAGATATGAGGTGTTGTTGGGTTGTAAGTTAGGTTATTAGCATTTTAGTTTATTTTTACATATGGAGGTAGTGTAAGTCTTTTGGGTTTGATGGAAATTAAGGAGAACTTTATTTTAATAGACTGATGAATTTATTCTTTGTAAATAAAAATTGTTATTATATTTAGTGTGGAGGTGATAGGAATAATAAGGGAGGTCTTATGATAAAAATCCATACTCTTCCAGTACATGAAAATCATAATTTCCCATCTAACTTTAAAACTGAATATGAAAAGCTAAATTAATTGACATAGGGGCTTATTTAGATCCTCTAGTATTATTTTTGTTATGATGCTTTGGTAAACCAAGCATAAAAATCTACTTGTATATACAAATTCTCAAAATTGTTAAATACCCAATCATTTGAAACAACAAAATTCATCTCAATCCTTTCTAAGTTAATAATCCAGCCCCAGGCTATTACCAAACCACTATGCCTAAATATTGAGAGTCTCTCTCAAGTTTATATAACCCAGCGGCAAAATTTGGTGACAAATAATAATTTTAATTACTCATTCAGATTCTTAACCATTATTAACAAAGTGTCTCACCAAAATTTGTTTGAAAATAGCTAAAATAATCCACCGAAAACCTAATAAGTTAAAAGGGGAATATACAACAGGTAATGCAAGGAACATTATTAAAAATTAGAAAGCATAGCTCTATGGGGATTTTGAACCCTTCAGTGTTATATGGTGAAGATATGAGGTTTGCTCCTTATTTTCTGAGATCTTCTTTTGATGATTCTTTGTGTTCACAGTTCTCTGACATTTTTCTTATTCTTATTAAAGCAGCATGCTTTAGAAGGTGACTAATCTCCTGTTTCAATGAAGAATTAGGTTTTAAGTAATTTATTTGAGAAGAATTATTTCTTGCTCTTTTCTGATTGTTCAAAGAACTTATTTTAGGCTTTTGAGAGTCCAAATTATCTGATTTCTTAAATTCCTCTTCTTCATGCAAAAGATTTAATGAACTTTCGCTCATGAAAGAATTTTTCTTTCTCTTTTTATTACTAAGAGAATTCTCGCTCATGTTGATAAGGATCTTTTCTGAATGTCTGATGGATCCAGAAGAAACCTCCTCACTGAGTAATTCGTCAGAGAGGTTCTCGTCGTATTGAGTTTTATTGACAACTTCCATATTTAAATATATTTATCTACAAATTCTTTTACTTTATCTTTATATTGATACGGGGTTTTGGGGTTTTGGGGTTTTGGGGTTTTGGGG